GGCTGTAAACCCCACTTTTTGTGCTGATTATTCATCCACTAATGCATGATGCATTTATCTATTAAACAAATGCCTACCCTGTTCAGGGTTCCGGCAATATGAGTGTAGATGTGATGGGACAAGGCTCCTGCTTTCAGGGAGCTCATACCTTAGTGGTAGAAGTGACAAGAAACAACGGACAAATTACATAATAAAAATTAAGATAGGTAATGGGGATTGGGATGGGCGGTTGAGGACCTGGAGGGAATTTTAGGGGGGAATGAGGGAAGGCTTTTGTTGAGGGGATAACATTTGACCTAAAGAATGAAAAGAACCAGCCATGTGAAGATCTGGGGGAAAGAGCAATTTTGATAAGTTTTAAAAAATCAGCATGACCTTTGTTGCAGCAGTTACATACCTAGGACTTCTTTATAAGAATGTAGTTTGTTATTGACCGTTGATAACTCATCTTTTCTCAATCATCTTTTCGTATCTTTTACCTACCTTTCTACAGGCATCTGTCTTATAAGAATTCTTCAATTTGTCACATGTTTTAGATTCCTTTTCCCAATTTGCAGGTTGCTTCTTAGTTTTTTGTGAAGGTTTTGCTTTTAGAGGTTTAAGATTTTTTTACTTTGTTTCATCAGTTAATCATTTTTCTGCCTTTGGGCTCTGCTTAAAGACCTTTCCTGCTCAGATTATAAAAGGCACTAATTTTATATGTAGTCACCTATTTTTTCTCTAGTTTGTTTATAATTTCTTTTTAATGTCTTTATGTAGAGTTTATTTTAGCATATGGTTGGTATAGGTATGCATCTAGCCTTTTCCAAATTGTTAGTCAGGTTTTGTACCCTTTGAATCCAATCTCCTTTCTCCACAGAGAATGCCATCATTATCATTTACTGTGTTCCTGCTAACTTTCATCTATTTATGGAATTTTCTGTTCCTGTGGCATTCTGTAGTATTTTAATGGTTGAACTTTTATACTTTACTACTTTATTAAAAATGTTTGGTTCTGAACCATACCCTTTTGAAGAGTAGCTGTGGATACTTTCTGGCTTCTTATTCCCTATCCATTTGGGAAATATTTTTTTCTGAATGATTTAATTGTATTTACTGAAAAATTATTTCAGAACTCAGCAGCTGAACCTAGAATCTGCATCAAGTAGAGTGCTTTTATTTGACTTTTCTATAATCTTGTTTTTTTTCTTGTTTTTATTTTTTTCTTTTCTCTTTATTTTTATTTTATTTTATTTTTATTTTATTGTAGCTCTTTTTGTTCTTGTTTTTTAATATATTTTTGT